ACCATATGAACACAAACCTTGAGGCAGCCTATTAGATCAAAATGCTTTTAAATTTTTCAAAAACACAGCATGACTGAAGAAAGAGTATAATTCTCTTCTTAACCTGGTTTAGATCATATCAACACCCTTAGCGGGACTTAAACCATGGCTGTACAGCGTATAATCCCGACACGTTAACCACTACACCGCTTTGCAATTAATTTTTCTGGGTCACAGAACAGGTGTGAATTTCGAGGAAGGCTAGGCCTTTTCCCATATCACATTCTATGGCGGGATTTTTGATGAGGCAAAGTTGTATTTGCTATAGCAATTGTTTACAATAATTATTAATTGTGTATAAGTAGGATTTCTAACCTACCAGTAGATCATATATATGCAACGAAGGCTAATTAATGTAGTCGATTGCTATAGCAAATGCAACTTTGTTTAATCGATAATATTAGAATGTGATATTAGGAATTGCCTAGCTTTCCTTGAAATTTACTTTTGCCCTGTGGCTTAAGGGAACTCATGGCAATTCGGCATAGTCGTTAATGTGCCGAGATTATGGGCTGCACTGTCATGGCTCGAGTCCCGCTGTGGCTATTGTTAAGACCTATGCGAGGTCGAAACTGTAGTCCACCCTGGATGAGAACAACTTTTGGGAAAGCAAGGATCTGTGAAATTGTATGGAAACGTCAGCTCTAGTCATATTATGGTGGGGAAATTCTATTACCAATCCTTCATCAACATAAACGAAATAGGGTGAATACATCTCATATAATTGATTTATTGGTTGTCTCGAAACTCTACGTATATATGAAAAATAAAATATATAAGCTCATAGAGGTCATGAGGACAATATAACGATAAATCGTACATTTCCCGTCTGAACTATATAAGTATTAGAAAATGTCTTTTTACCTTAAGGATAATGCAATTTAGTAAGCAAGTCCCCAATCGGGTTATGAAGCCCAAAATTATTAGGAGATGTATTTTTTAAAGCATTTGTCCGTCCTTATTTTTATCTGACTAAAATACTTACAAGTTTGAATTTTATTGATAATTATTCTTCCACTTAGGCCCAAGATACTTCAGAGCTCTTCTTTGAGGATGTTCGAGTGCCGGCAAGCCAACTCCTTGGGGACGAAAACAAAGGTTTCTATTATTTGATGCAGGATTTGCCTCGAGAGCGTCTCATGGTCGCTGATATAAGCCAGTCCATGGGTGAATTCGCATTTGAGGAGACCCGAAGATACGTTAAAGAACGAAAAGCTTTTGGCAAGCCAATCGCAGAGCTTAAGGTTTGATTCATTGAATATATTTTATTATGGATCAATCATTAAATGTTTATTGTTTAAGATCAGTTTGTTTTTGAGCTTGGCACGAACCTAAAGCTATAGTCCCCAAATTTACTTTGCTGTTACCTACACATTTAGGCAACTACATTTTTAGATCGTAGATATACATAGTTGACTTATATTTTTAATTTAAATTTTACTTTATAGCAATGTCGGCTTGTCAAATATTTTATATGAGGCCCAGCGATACAAGTTCACTCTACTTATATTATATATTTTTTTATCTGTGCAGCGCATTCTTTGCATTAACGAAAATTGCCACTTCCACGCATTTTCACGGTTTCAGAATCTTCTCTTAGACAGATCATTAATAAGTAGTTTTGCAATGGACAAATTCAACATTTCAGGACCTGGTTTGACTGCTTAGGTTTAGAAATTTTAAATTTATAGTGATCCGTGTTACAATGGTAGTACTATGATCCATTTCGAACTATGTTTCTCATATCGCTCGAGAAAAATGTTGGAACTGCATACTTTCTTCACCAGAATATAGTCGAGTTGTATCTATGCTTTAGTCCATACTATTTTTTAAAGTTTTCCTCGTTATTTTATAGGACGGTAATCACTCATTCTACATACCTTTCCTCTGAATTCACAAATAAACTAGATAAAACAGAATGGTCTCCGCAAATGACGACCCTCTGGGCCATAGAGGCGCGATTATTAGTTCTGCAAGCAAATACAATAAATAAAAATGTTTTCTTTCCTTGTCCCGTCACTTATCAAATAAGTAGAATTCGAAGAAATCATTAAATCCTGAGTAAGAAATCGGGTCACTTTATTTTTCATAAAGTAAGAAAGGATCTGATAGTTGAGTATTATAAATCAATATGCGTTTATTGACAGGTATACCTCTTCATAT